AAACCAGGAAGGACAGATGGTGGTGGATTTTACCAAGAGAATGGAAATGGCTGTAGTCAGTATTAGGAATGAGATCATCAGAAGTACAGCACAGGTTGAACAACTGGAGATAAATATACAGAGGACAGACTGAGATGGTTTGGACATGTCCAGAGGAGGGACAGTGGGTATATTGGTAGAAGGATGTTAGAAATGCATCTGCCATGAAAAAGATAAAGAGGAGATGTATGGATGCAGTTAGAGAGGACATGGACGTAATGAGGACAGAGGACAGAGAGGATAGAGTGAGACGGAGGAGCAGGGCTCGCTGTGGAGACACCTAAAGAGGGAAAAGCTGAAAGAAGAAGACCACATGAAACATTAAAAACGTAGCTTTCCTTACTGAAATACATATCACCTGCTTATTTTCATTGCAGAGTTTTAGACAAAGATAACTCATGATGAAAAATGACGATTTAACATTTTTGGTAATCCTTAACATTAATATAATACACAATCTCATTTTGTTGCTTGGTGTTTTTTTTTAGTATGTTTTGTTAATAATTATCAGCACTACCACCCTATTTACCACAATATTTATAAAATTCACTGAGTTGTGTAGAGTAGGGTTGACTTGGGTGTGTGGCAGCCATCTTGAATTTGGTCCAATGAGTCCAATGTAAATTTGTTTTAGAAAATCCTTCTAATTTCACTTTTCTGCTTGCTCTCGATGAGGACGGACACTTTTCCCTCCTGCTCCTGCCCTCCCTCCCACTTTGCTGTTTGTCTTGTGATTCCTGTCAGAGCCTCTCACTACATGTCCTCCAAATAGTAAATTATGGATCTGGTCAGCTGGTCTCTCTATGCACACAGGGCTGTGTGCTGAGCCCCCTGCTGTACTGTCTCTACACCCACGACTGCAGCCCGGCCCACAACAACAACCTCATCGTCAAGTTCGCTGATGACACCACAGTGGTCGGACTAATCTCAAGGGGAGATGAGACATTTTACAGACAGGAGGTCCTGGAGCTAGCAACCTGGTGCTCAGAAAAAAATCTGGCTCTGAATATCAAAAAAACCAAGGAGGTGATTATTGATTTCAGGAAGCACAGCACCAACCTAGCCCCCCTTTACATCAACGGCGAGTGCGTGGAGAGGGTTCACACTTTCCGATTTCTCGGTGTCCATATCTCTGCTGACCTTAACTGGAAAGAGAACACCACAGCGGTCATCAAGAAGGCTCAGCAGAGACTACACTTCTTAAGAGTCCTTAAGAAGCACAGCCTGAACAC